TCATCATGAATCTTTTGGAATTCTCTTGTATTATTGTATTGATGAGAATGGCCAAATCTTTCACAGTTGATCATCATTACAATACTGCTGTTATTGTGCACAATGATCTCCCAGTTCTTCTCACTTCATTTTGCATCAGTTTGTATAGGTATCATAAAAGTATTTTCTGAAACCACTACCCTCATTTCCCAAAGCACAATAGTAGTTCATCACAATCATATGTCACAACTTGTTGAGCAATTGATAAGCATCCCCTTAATTTCAATTCTTTGCTAAAAAAGCTGCTATAAATATTTTTTGTACATATAAGTCCTTTTCCTTTTATCTCTTAGGGATACACAACTAGTAGTGGTATTTCTGAGTTAAAGGGTATACAGTTTTATAGCCCTTTAGGCATAGTTCCAAATTGTTCCCCCGCATGGTTGGATTAGTTCACCACTGCATCAGAATTTCTCTCATTCCCTCTAGCATTGTCATTTTTGATATGTGTGAGGTGGTACCTCAGAATTTTTAAATTTGTATTTCTCTAGTCAATAGTGGTTAAGAGAATTTTTTTTTTTTCATTTGAGTATAGATAGCTTTGATTTTGTTTTCTGGAAACTGCCTCTTTATATCCTTTGACCATTAATCAGTTGGGGAATGGCTCTTACTTTCATATATTTTACTCAGTTCTATACTCAGTATGTATCTGAAACTTGCTGTAAATTTTTTTGATATTACTTCATTGTCTATAGTACCATAGCTTTTTAGCAAAATGTACTTTCCCTTATCTCTTTTAATTAGGTCTATTTTTGCTTTTGTTTTGTCTAAGATCATTTGCTACCCCTGCTGTTTTTTTTCGCTTCAATTGAAGCATAATAGATTCTTATTTTAACTCTGTGTGTCTTTCTGTTTCTAGTGTATCTCTTGTAAATATCATATTGTTGAATTCTTATTTCTAATACATTCTGATAAGTTTCCATTTTATAGAGGAGCTCATCTCATTCACATTTGCAGTTATGATTATTGTGTATTTCTCTCCCTTCTGTCATCTTCTGTTTCTTTTTCTGTCTTCTTTATCCTGTCCCTCCTGAAAAGTCTGTTTTGCTTTTAAACACTGACTCTCTTAATCCGCCTTCCCTTTTATTATTTTCCCTTTCTCATATCACCTTCCCCTCCTACTTCCCTATTGAAGAAATTACATTTCTTATACATGACTGAATGTGTGTATGTATGTGTATGTATATATATATATACATATATATATATATAATGTATATATAATGTGTATATATGTGTATATATATATACATATATATATATATAATGTATATATAATGTATATATAATGTGTATATACAAAACCGTGTGTGTGTGTGTATGTATGTATATATTCTTCCTTCCTTCTTTGAATCTATTCTTATGCGTGTGAAGCTAAAACATTGCCTGTTACCCCAATACCCCAATGCCGCCAATTTCCCCTCTGTTATAAAAACTCTTTAAAATAAACTCTCTTTCTTATGTACTCTTTTTATATGAGAAAATTTCCGCAATTCTACCTCTCCCTACCCCTGTCTCCCAGTGCAACCCTTTCTCATCCTTTCATTTTTTTTTTGTTTTTGGAGATCATTCCAACACAATCAACTCATATCCATGCCCTTTGTCTCTGTAAACACATTTTAACTGCCCTAATAATGATAAAGTTCTTAGGAGTTACATGTATCTTCATTCTCTATAGTAGTGTAAATAGTTTGACTCCATCAAGTCTTTTATGAATACTCTCTCATGTTTACTTTTTTATACTTCTCTTGAGTCTTCTTTTTGAATGTCAAATTTTCTATTCAGCTCTGATCTTTTCATCAGAAATGCTTGAAAGACCTCTATTTCATTAAATAAATATCCATTTTTTTTCTACTGAAGGATTACACTCAATTTTGCTGGATAAGTTATTCTTGGTTGTAATCCTAGCTCCTCTGCCTTCAGGAATATCATATTCCAAGCCCTCTGCTCCTTTAACATGGAAGCCACTAAATCTTGTATGATCTTGACTGCGGCTCCACAACATTTGAATTATTTCCTTCTGGCTGCTTGAAATATATTCACTTTGACCTGAGAACTCTGGAATTTAGCTATATTTCTAGGAATTTTTGTTTTGAAATCTCTTTCAGGAGGTGATCAGTGGATTCTTTCAATTTCTGTTTTAACCTCTGGATCTAAGATATTGGGGGCAGCTCTTGATATTTTCTTGAAATATGGTAGGTATGTTCTTTCTTTGGTCTTGGCTTTCAGGTAGCCTAATAATTCTTAAATTATCTCTCTTCAATCCAATTTCCAGGTCAGCTATTTTTCCAATGAGATATTTTACATTTTTTTTTCTTTTTTCCATTCTATTGGTGATGTCTAGTTGTTTCTTGATGTCTCATATAGTCATTAGCTTCCATTTGCTCAATTTTAATTTTTAAGAATAACTTTCTTCACTGAAATTTTGTACCTACTTTTCCATCTGGCTAATTCTGTTTTCTAAAAAGAGATATTTTATTTTTTCCAAATTACATGTAAAAAAATTTTTAAGATTTAAAAATTTTTTGAGTCCCAAATTTTCTTCCTTTTTCTCCTCCCCACTCATTGAGAAAACATCCGATTTGATATAGGTTATACATGTGCTGTCATGCAAAACAGATTTCCATATTCGTCATGTTGTGAAAGAAAATACAGACCAAAAAACCCCAAGTAAAATAGAGAAAGTAAAAAAAAAATATGCTTCAATCTGTATTCAGTTTCCACCAGTTCTTTCTCTGGAGATAGATAACATTTTTCATCGTAAGTCTTTCAAAATTGTCTTGGATAATTGTATTGCTAAGAATAGTTATGTCATCCACAGTTCATCATTGTACAGTACTGCTCTTACTGTGTACAATGTTTTCCTAGTTCTTCTCATCTTACTTTGCATTAGTTCATATTAGTCTTTCAAGGTTTTACTGAGAACATCCTGTTCCTCATTTCTTATAGTATAACAATATTAAATCACAATCATATACCAAACTTGTTCAGCATCTGGCACATATTTCAATACCAGAGGAAGAACTGACTTGTTTCCAAGAAACTTGATTCTTCACACATACTTTAGATGCTACAGCTGAAGTAGAAAGGTGGTAACCATAGCTATGCAGATACTAGTGCTTCCTATCTCAGTATACTTGCAGTGAGTCTAGGATATGGGGTCATATAGAGACTAGGAATCAGAAAAAAAGGAAAGTAGAATTTTCTTTCCTTATCACATCACCATGGTGTATATTACCTTTACCCACTTTTGAAAAATTATCCAAAAGTACATTTGACCCTGTATATAAAGATATTGGACTCTGAATGGAAATCTAATAGTGTGATTCTCAAGCAAAGGATTTAAGAAGTAAAGGAGATTATAAATTACAAATTCTTTTTTGATATCAAACTATAGATGCATAAATTTATTCATGACAAAGGTTATAAAAACATGTGTTACCATCAATCTGAAATGAACACAAGTATGAAGGGCAGTGTGAATGTGTGTACAGGGAGGAGGGAAAAGTTGTATATGTCATGGTATAAAAATAACTGGGTAAGAAAATCAGGGCCACATGTGTGCAAAATTGAAGAAAAGGTGACAATTGCTTTAGGTAACTTCCTACCTTATTTTATCCCCTGGTAAGGTTTAATAACACCTCTTTAAGATCCAGTTTCCTTCATGGTACTCTTTTGCTGCTTGGTCAGCATTTGGTATTGGCAGCTCTTCCCCTCTTTCAGTATTCCCAGTACCAAAAATCATACTTTTATCCTCCATGTAATTGTGTCAAAATACTAACGTAATCTCAACTAAGTGTTAAAAAAGCACATCTAACTAAACTCTCTGTTTAATGGCAAAATTGTGGGCATTGTCTTCTGCCTTGCTGCTGTACTCTAAGAATCATAGGACTTTTCTATATGAATTGCACCTGAAATTTTCTAGATGTGCTCCCCTCTGAGGATCCGAGCTCTCTGATAGCAGGAGCTTTCTTATTTTTGCATTTGTATTACCAGTTTTAGTGCAGTGCTTTGCACATAGAAAGCACATAATAAATGCTTCATTCATTCATTTAAATTATCAGATGCCTATCAAATATGTGTTAGTAACACCAATATGACAATTTGGAACTGTTGGGCTATCCACCCTAGTCAGTGAACATCATTCAAAAATGTTACAGAATCTGTGTCACTATTGGTACTGAAAAAAGGATAAGGTAACTTTGTTTATGAACATCAAATTGAGACAGCAACCTGGGAAACTTTCATGTCTTGGAATCAGGATACCAGGGGTGACATGACTTGTTTCATCAGTGGACAAATAAAATACTTTCTCTGAACTTTTGTATTATTTTTGGACAAGGCCGTTGGGATCAAGTAACATTCCCAGGGTCTCACAGCTCAGTTTGAAGTGTTTGAGACTGGATTTGTACCCAGGTCCTCCTAACTCTGGGGCCAGTGTTCTATCTACTGTGCTACCTAGGTACCCCAGTATTATTTTATGTAAAATGATGACAATGTCCTCTGTACTACCTATGACATAGGGTTCTTTTGATAAATAAGCTTTATAATTGTTAAAATTATACATTCATTGAGATATTGTTATTATATTTTTTCAAAGTGAGGATACTGTTCATAGATTTGCATAAACTTTCTAAGTTAGAAGAACTCTTATAGATCATACAATCCAAAACCTACCCCATTAAACAAATGAAATAAACAGGCAAATAGAGACTATTATTTACCCAAAGTCACAACATGAATGTACCTACTTTAAAAATCATCCTTATTAACATGCCATAGGCCCTTTAGGTGTCAGCTTTCTAAAATTGGTGATCTTGCCATGGACACATAAACAAAGAAATCAAATCAGTAAACACAGAAAGACAATAAAAACATCAATATGATCATGGAAAAGACTTTGGTATTAATTCTATAAGTGTTTAAGGGTTATAAGCTTCCTCAAAGAACTCTTTGTGTCCCTATTCCCTCAGGCTATAGATGATAGGATTCAGGGTTGGTGGCACCACTGAATAGAACATTGATAACAATAAAGTCAGAACTGATTCAGAGGCTAAGGTTGGATTTATATAAGATATGGCCACAGTCATGATGAAAACCATGAGAACAATGAGGTGGGGTAGACAAGTAGAGAAAGCTTTTGAGTGACCTTCTGTAGTGGGAATGTTCAGCACAGTTGAGAAGATGTGACCATAAGAGATAGCTGTGGAGATACAACAGAAAACCCCTAAGTTTATCCAAATGGCCATATTCACATCATCTGCATTGTGTGTCTCAGCACAGGAGATCCTGAGTAAGGAAGGCACATCACAGAAAAACTGATGGATCTCCTTGGGGCTGCAGAAGGGTAAAGAGAATGTACTAACTGAAGACATGGGTCTAAAAAAAATCCTCCAGTGAGCCAAGAAGAAGTTGCCATTCTCATTCAAAATCTTTTGTTCATCATAGTGCAAAGGTTGGCAGATGGCCACATAGCAGTCATAGGACATCACTGTGAGGAGAAAAATCTCTGATCCTGCCAATAAAATTACTAAAAGGACCTGTAACACACACCCAAAGAAAGAGATGGAACAACTTCTGCTTAGGGAATTTTCAATAGATTTTAGCACAGTGACAGAAATAAGGCAAACATCTAAAAAGGATAGATTTTTCAGGAAGAAGTACATGGGGGTGTTGAAATGGCCATCTAGAGTGATGAGTGTGAAGATGAGCAAGTTCCCTATCAGAGCCATTACGTAAATTAGCAAGAAGAACATGGCATGTAAGACCTGTAACTCCCAGATGTTAGAAAAGCCCATGAGGAAGAACTTTGTCACCTTGGTGAAGTTGGCTGTGCTCTGGAAGGGGGAGTTTGATAGATTATCTGTCCAGAGATAGGAAATAGATTCAGCATGATGAAAGCATTCAGTTTGTTGGGTTTCAGTAGTTATTTATTTTCTGTTATCTTCCTCAGTTTTTTTTTTTCATTTGTTAAATGATGGGGAATGGAACTAGACTGGAAGTTTTTACTGGGGTATATGAACTTAATTTTTTTTGACTAGGTAGAAATAAAATGAATTCATTTTTTGTTTTTTTATGAACTTAATTTAAAAAATAGTTTAATGACTATATTTCCACAATATTTTTTGGTAATTGTTTGTATTTTCTTTTACATGTTTAATGACCTGATTCTGAACACAGTCTCAGAGGTTTCATCTGCCTTTCAAAGGAATCTATGACACACAAAAAATTAGTAATCTTTGATCTGAGTAGTCTATAAGGTCTGAAGGACTTCTCTATGTATGAAAGAATCATTAGTGAATTTATTAATAGGATCCTTAAGTTGAAAAGGATGATAAAATAGAAATAGCTCTCTAACTGTAAGATTTTCAGGATTATAAACTCATTTATCACAGGAAACCTGTGTGGTAGGCAGATCAAATAGTATTATTGCCTTTTTACAGATATGATGCCATGGTTGAGAGAAGCTATGTGACTTTTCAGTGGTCACACAAAGAATGTCAGAATCCAGGTATTTAACCAGTAACTCTTGATTGCAAGGCTGACATGAAAGCTCCTTAATGTTTTTGTGTTGAGACAAATCTCAGTTTGCTGTTTATAAAAACGATAATTGTCTTCCCATTCTTCAATATTGATAGCGAAATAAATTTTCTAGCAATTTTAAGTGATTTCTACTGTCCAGGATGGGAATCCAATACAAGATATTTGCTTACATCATGATTAGCTTGACAGACTAGAATTGTCTTGCAAAGGAATCTGTTTGCATGTATTTCACATCATCTGTTCCACTTAATTTTGTTCTCTTCCTTGGTCATAGATTCTGCCACTACTAACATAAAGAGCGAGACTGAAAGGCAAATCCATTCCTTAATAGAGAACTAATTCCAAGAGCAGTAAAATCTGTTGTGGATCTATTCTACCATGTATGTTAGTGGAAGGTAGCACATTGGAATAACTTTCTCCCTTAGATTCTGATTCAATTTGTCTCAGTTCTCTCTCTCTCTCTCTCTCTCTCTCTCTCTCTCTCTCTCTCTCTCTCTCTCTATATATATATATAATATATATATATATATAATATATATATATATGTATATATATACACACACATATATATATATGTATATATGTATGTATGTATGTATGTATGTATGTATGTATATCCATGCTTCCTTAGGTTAGGGTGGGGAAGGAGGAGAAAAATTAAAGTAAAAAGCACATAGCAGAGAATAAAAGAAAGCCAACTGGGAAGCAAGGAAAAGCTGGGCAGCTTAAAAACAATGTAGTATTTGTTATATAGGTTTTCTTGAAAAAGGAATTTATTGTTTTATGCTAAATCCTGTTTTATGGTCTGCTGTGAAAAAAAAATGAAAAACAATTGTCAGTTGAAATATCTACTTATCTTTATACACTCATAAATTACATCTGAAGTCATAGATTCTGGACCTATCTCCTTATGAAAGGCCACAGAGAAACAAAACTATACAATTGGGTGTGGGGCAAAGATGTGACAAAGAAGAATAAATCAAAAATATACGTGAGCAAACATTCATCAGTTGTCAGCCCTGTGAAAACTTGTATTCTGAACCTAGATAGTTAAAAAAACGTGAATCATATCCAATTATGATAATCAAGAAGCTTCTATTCTTTGAGGGAGATAAGAAATGTATGTAAATAATTACAGTGTGAAGTAGAAAGGGATAAATGCCTAGGAGAACAAATTGCTCAGAGAGATGTGAGGGAGAGAATTTACTTTTTACAGGTAAGATGAAGGAGAGTTTTACGCATTTGGGAGGCTGTGGGGAAGTTCTGAGAAGGTAGGTAGGACTTTTACATGCAGAAAATTATGTTTAGGGCAGCACATATCTTTTGTGTTATTAAAACAAAACACATAGAAGCAGGGCTAGGAAGGACAACTTTGGGAAGAAATTTTATCAGTATAAAGGACTTTTAAAATTCTAACTATTGATTTCAAGGAGCTTAATTTCAATGAAAATTTCTGTATTTTAACAAGAATACCCACGTTTTCCTATTCCTTATTTTTATTAAACTTCTTCATTGTATTCATGAGGACTTCTAATAGCCCTCACATGTCAGCAATTTCTTTGGCAATTATCCCTAATCTGACTTTACTTTTCCCATTCTCAATTGTGAGCCACTTCACCAATTGAAATCAATACTTTTCTCTAGTCTGGAATCATTTGTTGCTTCATCAAACTGCAGATCACACTTTGCCAAACTGCAATCCCGGATTATTCCCACAAGTCACCTTTTCTAATTCTTCTTATTCACGGCTCAATGAAGCTGGATTTAGTAATGATATTTTACTAACTCCACTACAAAGTCCATCACAAAGTGATGATTAACATCTCCACTTGTCCTCACTTTCAGCAAAGCAACGACTTTACTCCTCTTAAATTGGTTCTCTTTCCTACTCTTTACTTGGGCTGCTTCCAATCTTCTGTTCTCTTTTTAAACTTCCTATACTCTACCTCTTAGCCTTCCTCACAGATGAAGGCCTCATCACACTTTGTTTAAATTTTGGAGGCCATTCTGATGAGCTACTTTTTTCCTCCTTTTCAATTCACAACTCACTGACATTATTTTACATTCCTCTTCCTTTACTGCAGGTTCTAATGAAGATATTATGATGGCTCTTCTAACAAAGGTTTCTTATCCCACTCAATCTGTCCCCTCCTGAAATTACTGTTCCCTCCTCTAATATTCAGTTTTCTCCTTTTATTGGTTCCTTCCATGCTGCCCACAAATTGACATCTTTAAATTTTCCCCAGCTTCAGAAAATCCTCTATTATAATCTCCAATATGCTATTCTTAATGTCTCTTTTCCCTTTCTCATCTAAAGTCCTAGAAAAATTCTGTGTTCTGTTAATTCAACTGCTTCTCCTTATTTTTCTAAACCCTCTACAATCTATTTAATGACTTGGTTAGTCATCTGAAATAACCTTTTCACAAGTCACTAATAATTATTAATTGAAAGTCCTTGTTTCAAGACTCATTCTTCTTGACTTCTATTCAGCATTTGATACTGTTGACTACTTTTTCCTCCAATATGGTCTTCTCTGTTTTTTCTTCCTTTACACTCTCTCTCTCTCTCTCTCTCTCTCTCTCTCTCTCTCTCTCTCTCTCTCTCTCTCTCTCTCTCTCCATCTCCATCTCCATCTCCATCTCCATCTCCATTCTACCTATTTGATCACTCATTCTTAATTTCCCTTGTTGGATCATTATCATTATAATACATTCTCTAACTATGAATATATGTCAAGGTACTATTCTATGCTTTCTTTTATCTTTTCCCTACATTTTCTTTCCTAACGAACTTATAAGTTCACATGGATTTGGTTATCCTCTTTCTCAGATGAGTCCCACATCTATATTTCCTGCCCTAGTTTCTCTCCCAATCCCCAGCACTGCAGCACTGTTTAGTGGATATTTTAAAGTGGATGTCAGAGGTAAAGATATTGGAAGTAAAGAGTAAAGATGTCAGAAACAATGTTTGACACTGAAGTCATTATCTTGTTAGATCTCCCAAATTCTGAACTTTCTTATTTCTCTTAAGAGCACTCCTATACTTTCAATGACCTAGATTCATAACTTCAATGATATTTTCTCCCCTCAATATCACTTACCCTCACATCAAATTGGTTTTTGTTCTTTCTATCACCAAGTGTCTCACATTAGTTGCCTTTGCTTCACTCAACCACTATTCTAGTTCAAAACCTTCTCACCTATCACTCTTATTATTGCAATGCACTTCTAATTGGTGTTCCTGCTTCAAGTCTGCCCCCTCTGCAATGTAACCTTCACAGATAGATTTATTTCTGATACCTTTACTTTTAGTCATGTTGAACACTAATCTTGTCTTTGCCATCAATATGCCTCCACATTAGACATTTTATTCTTCCTTATACATGGAATTTCATCTCCCATTTTTGTTTCTTTGAAGTATAAAAGCTAGGATATAATACTAGGAAATAGGAAGCTAATAGGAACCAAAAGAAAGTTTCACCTTCTCTTCCAATTTCCCATACTTTGATTCTCATACCTAAAAACATGTTTATACTCAAAAATACATGTCAACCATCCTTTGGTTATATTCAAATGCTCTTTCATACTTCTGGCCATTTCAGATTCCTTTGCCATAATTTTTTTTTCTAATTTTAGTCATGCAGACTCACATACATCTATATCTGGATATCAGAAAATGAAAATTCATACCTACTATTCTGTTCACCTCTTTAAGCCATTGTTTGAGGGTAAGACTATCACTTCTCCATTCAGGAAGCTACAGTATTATACATAACTGAAGTAATTTTTCAAAAGTAGAGGAGATTCAGACATTAGTGGTGATGTGATAATGTAACAAAAAAAATTCTGCTTACTTTTATTCTGATTCCTGTGCTCAGCATGACCTCACCAAATATAGACTAACTGCAGTGTATTAGTGATGACCACTTCACTTTGGCTGTAGCATTTAAAGTGTCTATAAGGAATCAAGTTTCTGAGAAACCAGTCGGTTCTTCTTCTGATGTTGAAACATTAGCCAGATACTTACATCATTTTATTTGCCTTTAGAGGTGCAAGCTCTTTAATTTAGTTGAGATTCTCTGAAGATAATAGAACTGGAGATCTCCCAAGTGTCCCTAAAACCATTCAATGTCACACGCCCTAAATCCTCGAATGGCTCAGACCATAAAATCTACAGCCAGCTTGTTAGTCTGGCCCTGGGGTAGAGGAGCACTTGAGGATCTGATCCCCAGATCCATGACTTATCCTGATAACAACATAAAGGTGCCAATGTCTATCAGATCACATTTAAGTTTGTCAGTCACTGCAAAATTTACCTGATGCCCATCCAGATTGGTTTTATATAAATACTGCCATATTTATTAGACTTCCCTCTACTCTCAATTTCTTACAACTCAGTATTATGGTAAAAAGTATTAAGTAACATTCATAGATCACAATCTGGTCATCCTCCAATCATTGGGCACTTATTTTTTCTACTATGTACAATGTTTTTATGATTAATTTTATTCACATAAGTCTTTTAAGAGTGAGGACTGTTTATATACTTTTCTTACTTGGTTGCTTTTAAAAATATTCAGGCCTATTCAAAAGTCCTGCAGAAGTCAATCAGTGTGCCTATTTCCCACAGGTGGAAGAAACATTGGCTATTATTATTATTAATTATTATTATTACCATCTTTCCAAATCCAAGAGGTGTAAGGTGACAGCTCAGTGTTGATTGACTTTGAATTTCCTTGGCTATTAGATATTTTGAAGATCTTTTTGAATGTTGATAGTTTGTTTTTACTTTTTTAACAGATGTTTTTGAAGCCCTTTGACAATTTGTTGAGTATATCTTGGTCACAAAGTTTCATGTAAATTCCCTCTAGAATGTGGATGTCAGAATTTTTTCAGAGGCATTTAATGAAAATATTTTTTTCAATTAAGCATCTTTTATTATTATTCTAGGTTTGCTAATTTAGTTTAAGAAGTTTTTGATCTAAAAATGGATTTTTTTTCTTGCATAATGTTCATTGTATCATAGCAGGTTAAGAAATCATTCCCTATTCACTGTTGTGAAAGAAATAAATTTCTCCTCTAATATATAACTAGGATTACTTTTCATATTTATACCATTTAGTATTTTGAAAATTTTGTCATATAGGCTTTAAATGCTCTAAACTCATTTTCTTCATAACTGTTATCAAGTTTTGCAGTAATTTTAATAGAATTACTTCAGTTATTTGCTTAGCAAAATGTGAATAGCGAAATAAGTGGTATACTATACCAAGGGAAATACGTTGATAAGGCATCATCAAATCTTCAATTGCATTATAAGCAGAAATTGTCAAAATTGTCTAGTATTGTATACAATATAGAAAAACTGAATCAGAATGTTAGAAAAGAAAGATATAAAAGAAAACACTGAATATATCATCTGTCCAATAAGCATAAAACACAAACTACTATGCAAATAACTTATTGATTAGTGGACAAGGGCTTGCATTTATAGTAAAACCATTAAATTCATTTTTCAATCGACTAAAATCTTTGTGATTTTTAGTACCCTCTGTCGTGGTTTATTTTACTTTTAATATTCCAAGAGTGGAAGGGGGCCTAACTGTACCAAAGACTATTTGGTATTTTTCTTTTTGTTTTGTGCATTGCTATGTCCCTTGCTATGGTGACATTGTTGTTTAGTTATTTTTCAGTCATGTCCTACTCTTTGTGACCCCATTTTGCAGTTTTCTTCAAAGAGACTGCAGTGGTTTGCTCCAGTATCTTCAAAGATACTAGAGTGGTTTGCTATTTTCATTTTTTTCCAGCTCATTTTACAGGTGAAGAAACTGAGGCAAAAAGGGTCAAGTGACTTACCCAAGATCATGCAGCTAGTAAGTATATTAAGCTTTATTTGAACTCAGGAAGTAGAGTGTTCCTGATCCCAAGCCCAGCACTCTATCCACTGTGCCACCTAGCTTCCTGTCTCTTGTTATGCCCTCCTCACCTTGAAAAATCTCTTACCAGATGACCATGGTACTGGTTATATTTTGCTCCATAATTATTTGGGTTGATATTCAGAAAATAGACTTGGACTACTAATGGGGCTAGACTCTAGGTTGGTAGATCCTACCAAAGCATAAAATCTTCTTGAATGACCCTTCAGAATTCACAGTCATCACTACGTTGAAACATTAGTATAGGAGATAAAGAAGTAAACTAAAAAATATGGAAATGAATCATAGACAATGGTCCAATATCCACATTACAAAATATGCCCCCAAATGTGACAAGAATAATATGAGAGACTTTATTTTCTTTTGATGAATTCAAGTTGCCAGATGATTTGTCAGTGGCTTATATTTGGTGTTAACCTTAGGTTAACACCCTCCTTGAGGGCAGAGATTGTCTTTTGCCTCTTTTTGTATCTCTGTGCTTAGCACAATACTCAGCACATAGTAGGTGCTTAATAAACAATTATTTATGGATTGATTGGGGTAATGAAAATTACCAGTCTTTTCTGATGACTGTTGAAGAGCACTATGCACTTCATGGCAGAGACACGATGGACTAATGTACAGATTAAGAAATGCATTCTTAGTTCCACTTCCAAGGAGCCAAGATGGCAGAGTAAAAAGGTAGTCGCTCTCACTCTCCCCTATCAACCTCTGAAAACCCAGAAAATATCACCCAAGAAAAAAACCCTGGAACAACTGAACTAGAAGGAAGATGGGAGCAGCAGTGCAGCAGCCCAGCAAATGGGTCTCCCAGTGTCTCCTCAAAAACAAGGGAAGCAGCACTACAAAGGGCTCCAGGCTGATAAGCACCCTACAGCATTCATCTGAAAGGAGCTGAAGAAAGCAACCTAAGTCTTCATAAAGTCCCAGCCTTGCTGATTCCAACCCAACACCAGGTAAGTTGTCAGAACCCCAGGAAGAGATCCTGAAGCCTAGTGTAGAGCAGGCAAACACCAACACCTGGATCTCCAAGGGCACTGTACCTCAAAGGAATCTCCCAGTGCATTAGCAGAAACGAGGGAGGCACCATTGCAAGGGGACCTAAGCAGATAAAAGCCCTGCAGCACCCATTTAAAAGGAGCTGAAGAAAGCTAAAGGAAAGGAAAAGCAGGCAACCTAGAATTGCCTGAAAGTTCCAGCCTTGCTGATTCCAGCCCAGCTGCTAAAACCCTACAGCCTCCAATTGCCAACATAAGAGGCCTCAGCACACAAAGCCAGTGACCAAGACCTAGGCTCCCAACACAAGAAGTGTGGGTCAGTGCCCTCTGTTCCCCAGCAGGAGAGCTTAATCTCTTTGAAGGCCAGGGAATAAAGAAACACCATGAGTAAAAAGAAATGTACCATAGATTCATATTATGAGAAGAGTGAAGATCAAGACAGAAATTCTGAAGAGGACAACATTGTTAACAAACCCACATCTGCAATGTCAAAAGGGAATATGAACTGGTCTGAAGCCCAAAAAGCCTTCTTAGAAGAGCTCAAGAAGGATTTTAAAAATCAAATGAGAGAGGTAGAAGAGTCCTTAAAAAATACAATTGGCCAATTGGAAAAAAAAGAACACTGAAGAAAACAAGTCCCTAAAAAACTCAATTGGCCAATTGAAGAAGGAAGTACAAAAACTAACAGAAGAAAACAATCTGTTAAAAACTAAAATTGGACAAATGGAAACTAATGTCTCTATGGGAGAGCAAGAATCAGTCAAACAGAAAAAAAAAATGAAAAAATAGATGAAAACGTAAAATACCTCATCAGTAAAACAACTGACCTAGAAAATCGATTCAGGAGAGACAATTTTAAAATTATTGGACTACCTGAAAATCATGCTGAAAAAAAACAGTATCTTTCAGGAAATCATAAAGGAAAACTGCCTGAAGTCCTAGAACCAGAAGGGAAAATAACCATAGAAAGAAATCACGCACCACCTGAAAGAGATCCCAAATTGACAATGCCAAGGAATATAATAGCAAAATTCCAAAATTACCAGATGAAAGAGAAGGTGCTGCAAGCAGCCAGAAAGAAACAATTTAAATATCATGGAACCACAGTCAGGATTACACAGGACCTTGCAGCTTCTACATTAAAAGACCAGGGCATGGAACATGATATTCCATAAGGCAAAGGAGCTTGGAATGCAGCCAAGGATCAATTACCCAGCAAAAATGAGCATCATTTTTCAAGGGAGGAGATGGATATTCAATGAAATAGGGACTTCCAAACTTTCCTGATAAAAAGAGCTCAACAAAAAATTTGATCTTCAAGTACAGACTCAAGAAGACATAAAAAGGTAAATGGGACAGAAAGATACAATATGTTGTTAATA